CACTTTGGGAGGCCAAGGCAAGGGGATCACTTGGGGTCAGGAGTTAGAGACCAGCCTGACCCACATGGCAACACCTTGTCTCTAAAAAAAAATACAAAAATTAGCCAGGTATAGTGGCACATGTCTGTGATCCCAGCTACTCAGGAGGCTGAGGCACAAGAATCACTTGAACCTGAGAGGCAGAGGTTATATGAGCCAAGATCACACCACTACACTCCAGCCTGACAGAACATGACTATGTCTCAAATTATAATAAAGAAAGAAAATCTGGCCGGGCACGGTGGCTCAAGCCTGTAATCCCAGCACTTTGGGAGGCCGAGACGGGTGGATCACGAGGTCGAGAGATCGAGACCATCCTGGTCAACATGGTGAAACCCCGTCTCTACTAAAAATACAAAAAATTAGCTGGGCACGGTGGTGTGTGCCTGTAATCCCAGCTACTTGGGAGGCTGAGGCAGGAGAATTGCCTGAACCCAGGAGGCGGAGGTTGCGGTGAGCCGAGATCGCGCCATTGCACTCCAGCCTGGGTAACAAGAGCAAAAAAACTCCGTCTCAAAAAAAAAAAAAAAAAAAAAGAAAATCCAATCCAAGCTATTTTTAACCATGGAGGGCTTGAATTTCAAAACTCAAAAAATATATAACTACCTTTAAAAACATTTAAGGCTGAGAACACTGCTTTCAAGAAACTAGCAAGTAGGTCCAAGGTTAATATTTAATATTATTCAAAGACTTGTCATACGTAAAAACTATACTCTCAATAAAATGGTTGAAAAGGAGCAGCCATAAATTTAACTTCAAAAATTTCATTGACTTTAATTTTGAACACATTTGGCTAACATATATCAATAACTGGCCCTAGTACCTTCTCAAAAGGGAGATATTTTACATCTTTTGCTATCATTCCCATTTTATCATTAGTTATCATTCCCATTTTACACAAAGAGAATATTAAAGAATAAAGGAAATGGGTCCCAAGCAGGGCCACCATTTATGGTTGTATAGATTGTTCAGTATACAACATACTAGAGGACCATTCTTATTGTAAATATCATAAATTTGTATATTTACTGTGACACTTTTTCTAGCAGACAGTAGAAATGCTTTTTAAGGAAGGTGTCTTTTTCTAATTTGTACAAAGGGAACTTATGGACTATTGATGCCCTATTTCTAAGGATCTCATTTTTCTAAAACAGAAAAATATTTTTAAAAAAATTTGTGGGCAAAACTAACACACATCACTATATATCACCCTCTGCCATGTATCTTAAAACTACAAACAACAAAGTCCATGGTGTATATTAGGGGAAAAAATACTTAGCACATTTTTCAGCTTAAAAGACAGATGTTAACAAGATAGCTGTTCAAAAAGCAAAAAAAGTAAAAACTTCTCCTAAGCAACAATAATCTTCATATATGCTTATCTTATTTTATAAAGTGATGTACTCCTGCAAAGTTCTATCATAACACAATTTATGTGAATCACTTTATACTTCATATGCATAAAATGTGTTTTTCATTTTTTAAATTATGTGATATATAGTACCCTTTAAATACTATATAAAGCAGCATTCTCTAATTTCACTATTTTCTTTTGCTTGTGGGAGGGAAGGGACTAATGTATTTCATATAAAATACATTAAGAGGATATAGGCCAATGTGACTTCTTGGCTCATTATCCTCACAAAGGTTTCTGAAGACCCTTAAGAATCATGTTCTCCATGGTATTACTACTGGGAATCTTGGACAACAATGAGAGACGAATGGCAGAGAAGGAATTGTGTATCATATATCTTAATATCCTTAGTAGTATCTGCACAATGCCAAGTACTTGGTAGCATTCAATAAGTAATTGCAGGGTGGCTGAAGGAAAACAGGAATAGGCTTTAGAGCAAAGCTTCTCAAAGTGTGGTCCATGGACTTGTGCCAGAACTGCTCCTAACGGATACGGATTAGTTAAGTATAGAAAGTCAAAGCATTTAAGTACTTTCACTGCAATTTGACAAAAAAATTTTATGTCTCTTGAATCTGATAGTAAAAAATGGAGTGTTGGTCTTTACTCGACTTTTCTAGTGATCCATTTTCACGTTGTCTTAACAAAGGTCCCAGTGTGAAAAGGACAGGAATTTTTTTAAAACTCCTTCAACATAAGACAGCTTGGAGCAACTCAATGGCTGAAGATGCACACTCTCAGATACTCTTTCAAACTTTTACTACTTTCAGTTACTATTCTCATAAATGTGAGGGCAGATATTTCATGCAAGGTTCTCAACCCCTAATTCTCAAAAATTATAATACCTGAAATCAAGTTTTATACATAAATAAGAAAACCTTAAACGATTTGCCTAAGGTTAAAGAATTGTCAGTGTAGAACCTACAGCTCTTGACTCTCAATGTCAATTCTTTCCATAAGGCAACAGAACATGTTAAAACTCATTCAGGAATACATGTTCACAAAACACTTCAACAAAATAGGAATACAAAATAGCTCAGAACTCCCTCTATTCATGTGTCTATGATCTTAATACCAAGTCTACTTTCTTAAACTCAAAATAAGCTAAACAGAAACCAATTTTTTAAAAAACTAAGTTATATTATTTCATAGATTTACTGGTGATAAAATTAGTTTAACTTTAACTTGCATTTTACAGAACTACCTCAAAATGCTTAATTTGCTCAGACAAGACAAAGCAAGGTGAGAAATGAACAAGTGAAATGTCCTGAAGCAAAGTCTAGTTCATTAAACTTATCATTAAAACCCAAACTTCAACATGTGAGAATCAAACCACTTTAAAATGTACATTTATTCCACTTGGCTATATTCTACATTCCTAATCAATGCTGACAGAAAAGTATAAAATATGTCATATCTATTATGATTTGTATATAGGAACACGCTTTAAACACCTAAAACATATAAACCTTAAGAATTTCTTTAAAAATTTAACCTCTCAAAACAAAACTTCTTTGGAACAATTAAACAATATGAGATTACAAATGTATAATGTCTACAACCCCAATTGGGGAGAATTCTTGGGTGAAAATGTAGATTCTTATCCACTTAATAGCATAATACACACAAAAAAGTAAATTTATAAGACTGTAACAGGTCAATACATGATTTTTTAAAATGAATAAATCATCTTCATTACACAAAAGAAATGCTTTTTCACTGTAACTTTCTGACTCACATTAAACTTCATTTAGCATATTCCAAAGTTGAACTATTTATCATACTGCTTGCTACAGCTGCACTTCTATTCCATCATGTCAATCAGAAATCTAAATATATCCTAGAAAAGAATTAACTCTCCCCAAGAAGACAGACTGTAATATGTTATTAGGTTTTTGGAACGATCCCGACTTCCGTAGTGTAAACAAATGTTTAGGCAGACCCTGTTGAAATCGTTTGCAATTTTCATTAGAAAAGCAATGCTGATAAAAGGTTCTTTTTCCTTTTTATGAGTTGTAAAAAGAAATTACAGCTATCTGTGCTGGATAATCTTGTGAAAGACTTATGACAGCAATCACACATACAATGTAAAAATAAATACACAAGAGAAAAAATAGACAACTTGACTTTCACTTTACTTGCTAGAGTATTCAGCACACCAAACAAGTAGAAAAAGAAATACTACTTTTAAGAATCAAATATGCTTTTTCCAAGGGATTTGTCTCCTTGGACTGAAATGGGCAGAATATATTTTTAAAACACCCTCAAGACGTCATAAAGAATTAAAAATGAATCACTTAATCCTTCTGTCAATATTGAAAGTAAAATATTGGATATGGTCAATATAAGCAGATGTGTTCTCTACTTCAGTGCAACAGGAAAGTCACGTTTTAAAAAGTTAAATTACAGAAATTAAGTGATAGACAACTACTGCCTACAAAAATGATTAAAATTAACCATTTTTCCCTGATTTCACAAGCAATCAATACTTTTAAATTAGATTACGAAAGGCAAGTTCTCACCTCAAATTGAGTACAACTCTTTCACAAAAGTACATGTAAAAAAAAAATCGCGAAAGGTACATTCCCAAAACATTATGACTAGTAAATGTGTTTCTCCTCTCTGAAACCATCAGAATACAGTCCCCCAAATCCCTATTACCGCACCAAATCCTTTCCAGGATAAAAGAAGCTGTTGAAGCTTTCAGAAGTGCTGTTCAATAAAAGCTTAAGTGTATACATTCAAATGGTAATGACAGCAGGAAAGGACAAGGAAATTTTCCGTTAAAAAAAAAAAAAAAAAGAAACTTACATAAACTTTCAATCCAAGATTTTAAAACTTACCACTACAGAACAGAACAAAGCAAACGACATAAAAGCAAACAAAAAGAAGAAACAAAAATTTAAAGTTCACCCTTTTACAGAATGGAACAGGAGTGAGTGCTCTGGTAACTCATTCATGAACGTACCATCAAACCATTTTTAAAGCAGAAAACATAACTCATTTTATTCAACAACGATAAACTTGACAACGTTGAACACATCGCATGTTAAGAATCTTTTAACTCATGTGTTCAGAAGATAAATCTTTTCCTCTACATTGGTGAAAGGTCAGGTGGGGAAGGGATGCTCTGTCTCCACTCAAGCTTGAAGGTCCTCTGTCGGAATTTTAACTTTCCAAGGGAGAACTTCTGCATTCCTTAATTATTATCTAAGTTCAACTTCAGGCAAGCAATTCTTGTTGCTTCAGCTTACCTGGTTGTAAAATGAGATCACTCTTATTCTTTATGTTTTGGGGACGTTGACCTAAATGTTTGCACTCCTTCTGTGTATTCGCTGGATGAAAAGTACGGCAAGTATGCTACAAAGGGAGTGTTCTAAAACACCGGCTGCCTACATGCCAGTCTGGCTTTTTCATGAAGTTACATACCAGTGAAGAGGAATGAAGGCTTTGACATGAACAGGTCACGCGATTAGCAGACTGTCCCCTTAGACCCTCATTCTAACCAATTCCCACACATGACTTACCTTGTATGACATGCTCTGGTGAGATGGTCTTCTTTTCCGATTTGTTACAAATCTCATTGGCTTCAGAAGATATAAGGTGAATGAATTCAGTGCAGCAGTTCACCACCAGCTCTCGAGCATCGTTGGCCACTCGGACATTAGGAAGAGTCTCTTTGATCATTTTATTGATAGCAGCTCTGGGGATAGTGAGATCATCATCGTTGCCAGACGAGGAAGCCATAGTACCTTCCTGTTTCTCGCGCCTCGACTTTTAAAAACTCCCCAGCTCTGGTCCACTACTCCACGGATATTTCTGAAAAAGCCGCCCTCGGAGAGTGATCCCGCGGGGTGCTCTGCGAAGAGGGTGCAGAAAATGAACGGAGGAGGAGCTGGCCTGAGGGTTGGGAACACCCGAGTGTGTAAGAGATTTAGGATGAGTTTGGGAGGAAAGTGGGGGCCTGAGGATTCTAGAAAGAGAACAGCCCCGGCTGAGGAGGGGAAAGCACGGTGGTCCGGAAATTTGAGCGGCTGGGGAACCACCTTCGGGTCTCTTCAGAGGGGCGGGCGCTGTCGCCTAACTGGTCCCCAACGGCGTCGGAGCAGAGGCAAGATGCAGGGGCACTGGCCTCACCGCGGTACCAAGCGGGTACCCAGCGGGCTCGGCTCTACAGAGCCCGAGGCCCCGCTGCCGCTGCCGCTGCCGCCGCTGCTGCCGCCGCCGCCGCCAGCAGCCGTTGCCGCCGCCTTGGCCAAACCATCCTTCAGACACCCGCGCCGCCGCCTCACAACATGTCCGCCGCTGCCGCTACCGCTGCTGGAACGGCGACGGCCGCCTGGGAACTAATATGGACAGAGCCAGGCACAGTGGGAGTCGCACTGGCGGCCGCCGTGGCCGCGTAGCCCGAACGTAGATCGTGGAAACCGGAGCGGCGGCAACGGTGGTCCCTCCAGAGGCTAGGGAAGGTTTGCTGGAAGCCGCTCCCGACACCCTTTGCGCCACCGGAAGCCTTGATCCCTCAGATTTCCCCCTCCCTCCCGGACCGACTTCCGGGTGTGGCTGCAGCCCTTCCCCCACCCACGCCGGCTGCAGCAGCCCGTTTGCCCTGCCAGCAGCTTCCGCCTGCTGCGGTCCTGGCTAGCGCCTCGTCCCTTCAGAGGCCCTAGCCAGGCAAGCGCGCGCCTCACTGTACCGGAGATCCAAGCACGTGCTTGTTCTGGGGCCGGGACGGTGGATCTGGGAAGGGGTCGGTGGCCGGGTAGATGGGCGAGGAGGGATCGTCTCTACCTTCTTTCAAGCAGCTGAGGCCTCCGAACCCTTCCCTGGCCGGATTTAGGGTTAGAGGAGCGCTGGTATTAATAAAATAGCTCTCTTTGCTATTTCTTTAGGAGCCCAAATGAGGATTGAAAGTGAGAAGAATGGGGCCTGAGCTTGGGAGTGGGGTGGGGAAAGCAGCACCCCGTGTGCCTGTTTCTGCATCGTCTGGAGAAAAAGCTTTTGAAGATGTCTAATAGACCTTATTCGGATTAAGCTCCCTAAAGTCCTCCACCTATATATGTATGTATATATATTTTTTGCTTCGTGGGAAATGAAACATTCAGAGAAGTTACTTGTCCAGAGGAGACTAAGTCGCCTAATGGCTAAGTAGGAAAGTAGAAGTCAGTTCCAACGTAGTGGAAATGCATGGTGTTCAGTGAGCTATATTAGAATGTTCCCATTTAGCCAGTTTTCATGGTGTATTCCATGTTGGCTTCTGCAGGGGAAAAAAAAGTGAGAGCATCTTAAGCAACTGGTTTTTGCTTCTTTCCATAGCGACTAGTAATAACAACAGGTGTCAAGATCTAAACAGAAATTGCATTTTTTTAAAGCGTGTCAGCTGGGTGCTGTGGCTCATCATGCCTGTAAACTCAACACTGGGAGGCTGAGGCAGGGGGGATCACTTGAGCCCAGGACTTCAAGACCAGCCTGGGCAACATAGGGAGACCCGTCCCTACATATATATATACAAAAACTGTGTGTGTGTGTGTGTGTGTGTGTGTGTGTGTGTGTGTATATATATATATATATGTATGTATATATATACATGTACCAACATCTCACTGTTTATAATATAGCCTCTTCCATACGACAGTATGACATACTTAGTTGTTTGTTTTTTTTTTTTCCACGAGGCTTGGTGGCAGGCATCTGTAGTCCCGGTTACTCTGGAGACTGAAGTGAGTGGGCTGATCGATTGAGCCCAAGGAGTCAAGGCTGCAGTGAGCTGCGATCGTGCCACTACACTTCCAGCCTGGGTGACAGAGCAAGATTCTTTGTCTCAAAAAGAAAAAACACTGTTTGTTATACCATCATGTGGAAGAAGAGGCAATACTTTAAATAGTGAGATGTTGGAATTAACAAGACACCATTTAAATCCATTTTGTCACTTTGGTTCATCAGATTCATTGCTCTTGATACATAGGATGGCAACTGGCTTGTTGGCAATGTTTTCTTAAAACTTTCTGTCTGACCTCTGCTTTCTTTTTTTACTCTCTCTCCAAAATGATCTACTTTGAGACCCCTGTTTTCAAGAAGACATTACAGTCTATTACTCTATTTTTTCATTTAGCATTTTCTCCAGGACACTTACTAGTTCTTTAATTTCTGAAGTGTAGACACTCGTTTTTCAGTGCTACTAAATTTAGTCCAAACAAAATTTCTTTGATAAAAACAGTATTTAAATTGTATTCAAGCTGGGCATTGTGGCTCACGCTTGTTATACCAGCACTTTTGAGAGGCTGACTCAGGAGTTTGAGACCAGCCTGGCCAACATGGTAAAACCCCATCTCTACTAAAAATACAAAAATTATCTGGGCATGGTGGTGGGTGTCTGTAATCTCAGTTAGTTGGGAGACTGAGGCAGGAGAATCGCTTGAACCCTGGAGGCAGAGGTTGCAGTGAGCTGAGACCACACCACTACACTCCAGCCTGGGTAACAGAACAAGATTCTGTCTCAAAAGAAATTTCTTCAAAATGGGAATGTGAACTGTTGGCTCAGATGTACCATCTTTATGAAGTGGTGCGGTTTTTTTGTCAGTTTACTGTTGATTTAAAGATTTATTATGGTCCCTAAATTTATCTTGACCTTATCAAGTTTATCAACCTGGAAAAACTAGCTAGCAAAAAATGTCCCCAAAGTTGTCACAGTGTCACTGACCCATATCTTGTCTCTCCCAAAAAAAGTATAATAACTTTGCTTTTTCATGTAACATTTATACTTTAGACTTATGCTAAATAGATGAGTAGAGTGATAGTTTCAGTAATAGTTTATTACTACAGGCTTCTGTGGTAACATAAATAGAATTTAATGTGAAATAAAAAGATGTAGGTTCTAGTCCCAGCTTTTTGTTACTTAGACAAGTCACTCTCCAAGCCTCATTTTCTTCAATTTAGATATAGAAATATTACATAACACACAGGATTCAAAGTCAAATGAGACTTCTATGTCACTTTCTATAGTATTTTTCATACTATAGAAAGTGCTTTTTATAGTATGAAGTGTTATATAATGTTAGTGTCTATTATCATCTTTAACAGGTTTGATCAGTCTTCAACTAGTAATAAACCATGTAACTAGTTTATTACATATATGGCTGAGAGAAATTTAATTGGATATAAATACCAGTGTGATATGTCATAAAATATGCTAATCTGTAGCCCATATTTAAATAGTTATTTATGGTACACTATATGTAGTTATATTATAAATAGGCTTTTGAGGACAAAGAGAACATCTCCTTATTAAGCTTTAAGAGTTTTAGAGAGAGTGCCTATTTATGAAACATTATTTTTGTCATGTTGTCTAGGAGTGGTAGTTCACACCTGTGATCCTCGCTACCTAGGAAGCTGAGGTGGCATGATCACTTGAGCCCAGGAGGTTGAAGCTGCAGTGAGCCATGATCATGCTACTACACTCCAGCCTGGGTGATAAAGTGAGACCTTTCTCAAAAAAAAGAAAAAAAAAGTTTAGCCTCAGACTAGAGTTAGGGGAGTGTCACTGTCAAAAACAGTGGAGTTGAAATGGAGCTGTTTAGAGAAGATGTGCTTGCTTTTGCACGGAGCTGTTTAGAGAAGATGTGCTTGCTTTTGCATGACAGAAGCTTCAGACAGCAGCAGACATTTATAGAAGTGATGTCCTATAGAAAGTGGAAAGAGAAGACAGCATCTGATTTCTATATTCATTCAATAACTGTCTAGTTCCTGACTATGATGTGAGAGAAATAAAGATGAATACAACTCCCACCTTGTTCTTGAAGACCCTATAATCTGGTGGGAGATGCAGAACATAAACCAGATTGAAGCAAAATACTGTGATAAAACATACAGGCTAAGAATATGCATGGGAAGAAGTGATTAAAACACCAGTTGTAAAGTGCAAAGGGTTTTATGGAGGACTGAATATTTTAACTGAGCTTGAAGATTGAGTACAATTTTGATAGAGAAGGAAAGAGCATGTAGCTGAAGAAAAAACATAAAAGTACATTGTATTGCTTGGGAAAATAAAGTAGTTTGGAGTGGCTCTGTTAGTAGGGTTTGTAAAGAGGTGTAGTGATATATGCTGCAGGAAAAATAGGTTAGGGCAAAAACAAAACATATCAATGCCTGATATGAATTATACACTGTGCCAAAAGTTTTCATATTTGCTATTTCATTTCATTTCCATATAGCCATGCAAAGCAGGTATTTCAACATGGAGGCAGGGGAGGGGAAGTGGGGAACAGTCTTAGAGAGTTTTGCTAATTTGTTCAGAGTCTCACAGATAATAAGTAATGGAGCTGAAATTTCAAAACAGGTTGTTATTTAACTCCAAAGCTGGAGCTATTTGTAATTTGGTAACAATCTCTAATTTAAAAAAAGGTTATATTCATTATAGGACTTTAAAAATATAAAGCACTTTCAGATGCATTTAGTTGTTATAACTGAGGGACTATACTAACTTCTCTTCCCAGGTCCACAAGAGGCGTAGTTTCAAAGGCAAGAACTTCCTAGCACCATGCTTCCATCTACCTCCCCATCTGGGAGTCTGGAGTTCTTTGTCTAACTTTTCCCGTGCATGGGCTGTGTAGAAAGCCCCAGTGAGCTTCCTTTGTTTAGAAAGCCCACCAAAAGCTCCAAGGGAGGAGGCTTTGATTGCAGGCCAGGCAGCCAATCCTATATCAAAGTCGAAGATCAGTCATTCCAAAGAAAGTTTGGAAAAGCTCCTCTCACTGGATGAGAACTTGAATGGGGAGGGAGTGACTCCAGGGTTAAATTCCCCCTACTCCCTTACCTATACGGATTTCCATCTCTGGGATCCCCTCCCACAGCAGCATGGGAAACTTCTCTCTCTCTCTCTTTACCTGTGCAGACTCCATCTCTGGATCCCCTCCCATGACAGCGTGGGCTCTTTCTCTTTCTCTCTCTCTCTATTTCTCTTTCTTTCTCTCTGCCTAATAAATTGCTTTTCTGTAAAGCTGTTTGGGTCCAATATTTACTTGAATGAGCTCACTGCACCACCAGGGCCCTCTCCCCATTCTTGGGTGAGTGAGGCCCAAGGACCTGGGAAAACACATCCAATCAGGAAACAGTGAGCATTTTGGGGACACCCGCTCAGCCTGGCTCCTGTCACCTAGTTACATCTGTGGTGAGCCAGCCAGGAGAAACGTCATAAAAGACTGTGTTACTTCAGAGTGGTGAGTGAATCAGACCCTTCTCACTTGCTAAATCTGTCCTATTGCTTCTTCTAAATACGTCAAGGAGAAAGCGCCAGGCACAGAGGCCGCCGGGCCTGTGTGGGACCGCAGGAGTCCCAGAGGTGTCTGCTGAAAGTGGCCTGGCCAAATTAAAAGGCACTGTGCCTGGCTTTCTCCAAACCTGCTCCTGCTCGCTCGCTCGCGCTCTCTCTCTCTCTCTCTCTCTCTCTCTCTCTCTCTCTCTGCCTAATATATCATTTTCTGCAAAACTCTCTGGGTCCAAAACTTACTTGATTGAGCTCACCATGCCACCAGGGCAGTCTCCCCATTCTTGGGTGAATGAGGCCCAAGGGCCTGGGAAAACACATCCCATTGGAGAACAGTGAGAGTTTTGGGGACACCCCTGCAGCCTGGCTCCTGTCACTGGTTACATCTGAAGTCATTAATCCCAATTTATAGTTGGGAAAATTGAAGCCCAGTGAGATTATTCAAGGTTGCAGAGTGAATAAGTGGCAGACTGGAAATGCAACCCAAGCTTTCTGACTACAAAGTCTCAGGTCTTTCCAACATCCTTTAAGAAGTCTGGAGATTCTTTTGTAAGCAGTGGAAAGAGTTAGTGAACATTTTTGAGAAGGGGGATGATATAAACATTAATATTTGGAAAGATTAGTC